GTGGTTGAGGGGCTGGTTCCTGCTATAAAACCAGACGAATATTTAAAAAAAACACGTCCTAACAGAACAATTACTGCCAAGAAATTTGACAATTTTTCAGGCAATAAATGTTGTGGAAAAACAAGTTAACAACAATACAAAGTGTTTTGAAATTCCAACGAGCAAAACACCACAATATTCAAATTAATTTTTCGTAAAAACTGTGATCGAGTGGAACCACCTTGAAGACACTGTAGAGCGCGCAGCGATGAGAGCTTCAAAACTGCTCTCGCGCACCGTCAATAAATGGACGGCTCTCTCTCTCTACCGTTGTATTAAAGCCAGTATTGGTATCCACAACGTACTCATAGCAGAAACAATACAGATAAAGTTGAATTCTTTGATTCTTTGTTTTTACGTCATGCCAGCTACCAAATTGGACCTCATTATTTTAGTAGTATCGATACTTTAGCCTATTTTTTGTACGAGTCCCAACGAGCTTGCATAACCACACTAGTTGTGAGAGTTGGACGGGAGAGTCCTTGATTCCCACTCCCTCCCATTTTTTCCCAATATTTCCTGCCCTTACAATGTACTTCTTGGCAAAAATCGGTCAAAAAAATCAGTTTTTAGCATAATATTATCCTTATTTTATACCCCCTCTTATGTCCCGGTTCCCGCTTCCTTCACCCATGACTCAGTCTTCCCGTTTCCTCTACCCCACCCCAGGACCCCTGTTTCCCTCCCCACTCATTACAAGGTTCCCTTTTCCCTGTCCAATACCCAAGTCGTGTGTATGTACGTTCATGGAAACAAGACAAATCGGCCCGGGGAAAAATCGGACTTTAAATTAGTTTTATTGATATTAAAGAAATTTCTTGGTATTCCTAAACGGAAGATTTTATAAACTGTAAAAAGAAGTATACTTAACAACAAAATTATTTTCATTTACCTGTGTATAATATGACGCAGGTTTTTTCAAAAGTGATGATTTTCTAAATATTGTATAACATTTCACAGTGTTATCATACTTTAACTTTGTTTAAACCTGTTTATTTACTTTTGACCTTAATTATTTATCCCTTATAATTTTTATTAACTATGTATTTGCATTCAGGTATCACAGATCAAATTTATTCGTTCATTGTGTGTTAATTTACGTTTTTTGATTGAGTTAAGCCTTCCAATTGATATTTTATAGTGTGTCTTTCTATGTTGTGATGTTATACTATTTTTTCAGAAAAGGGAGAAGGTTTGATACCATTAAAACGTTTAATCCCGCTGCAATTGTTTGCACCTGTCCTAAGTCAGGAATCTGATGTACAGTAGTTGTCGTCTGTTTATGTAGTTCATACGTGCATGTTTCTCGTTTCTCGTTTTTATATAGATTAGACCGTTGGTTTTCCCGTTTGAATGGTTTTACACTAGTAATTTTTTGGGGCCCTTCATAGCTTGCTGTTCGGTGTGAGCCAATGCTCCGTGTTGAAGGCCGTACCTTGACCTATAATGGTTTACTTTTATAAATTGTTACTTGGATGGAGAGTTGTCTCATTGGCACATCTCGATCTGTCGATTTAGATAACTCAGACCTTTTATAGCATAACAAGGAATTTGCAAGTGCAGTTCAACGAGTTCTGCATTTAAACCTTAAGTTTGTCCATTTTTTTTTATGCACGGTTCGAGTTGACTTTATATCCGGTCAGAGTTATCGTATTCACTAGTCTTTGCTCGGGTCGATTTGTCTCCGGGTAGACTTGTGCCACGTTCTCGTCTTTCATATACAAGTTTAATATACACTGTATATACATGTTGACATATATCATGTATATGTGTTTGTATGTTTATGTATAGCCAATGTTTATTGTCAAATTTGGTAGCAATCTTGTAATTTTGGATTTTAAACCAATAAAATATCTATCTATCTACACAAACGCAATGCATAGTTATTTCAGGTAGATATGAGCTGGATTTAATTGCAATCATCAAATAAAATGAGTTGCTACTTGTAAACCAAAAAAAAGTAACCAACGTCACTCCTGATTAAGATGCATTGTACTCCCTGCAAGATAACTATGTGAAAGAATAAAGAATGACTTGCAACAAATATGGTGATCATGTGTCGACGCCATTTTATGACAATATTACTTCTTTTGTATTTAAAAATAGATTGGAAATACCTTTAAATAGTAGTTTGATTGTTGATAGTTGATTGCGTTACACTTGTATGACAAAAATAATGTTACAAATAAGATCAATAGATAGAATTTTAAAACAGTTTAAATCCGTGTACCCAATTTGCTGTGCAAATTTATAAGGGTTATAACTTTCCAAGTGAGCCTTCCTGGTTAATCACCACTATTCGTCACTACTGTTTATTTTATATATTTGTTTTCATCTCGTCTTGGCATGTGTGTTTATGTTATGTTATAACTTTTGATGATAACTTTTTTGTACCATTGTAACTATATAGTGTTTGAGAAATAAGGAATCTGGTAATCTGGAATCTGGTTGCTGATTTTGCAGAACGGCTACGGCTTATGAAACATACTTATACTGTAATTCTATATATAGATAAATATAAAATGATTTTTGAAAATTTTAAAATACGTTTTTTTTCTTTTCTTGCGCAAGTGTGGCAGATCATCATAGCGTACCATGATAAGCAGATAAATAAAAATACAATTATTTCTCAAATATACGCAAATCTTTATTAATATATATATATATATATATGATGGGTCTCTATAAGAGTCGGGTAACCGCCAAACAAAAATTAAATTTGAAATGAAAAGAGGAAGCTTGCATGGTAGATGATTTTCGTGTTGATCGAATTTGTCCAAACTTGTTATCGGAATTACCTGTTTTGTGATCAAATTTGTCCGAATTCGGAATTACCTGTCTTGTAATCGAATTTGTCCAAACTCTTGATTTTGAATTACCTGTCTTGTGATCGAACTTGTCCGAATTTGTGATCGGAATTACCGGTCTTGTGATTGAATTTGTCCGAATTTGTGATCGGAAATACCTGTCTTGTGATCGAATTTGTCTGAATTTGTGATCGGAATTACCGGTCTTGTGATCGAATTTATCAGAATTCGTGATCGGAATTACCTGTCTTGTGATCGAATTTATCCGAATTCGTGATCGGAATTACCTGTCTTGTGATCGAATTTATCCGAATTCGTGATCGGAATTACCTGTCTTGTGATCGAATTTGGTGAATGTTTTAATCGAGTATTTTCCATTTCACTTTCCCTATTCCAACAGAGTCAGTCAGATAAGAAGTTTTTTTCCCAAAAAGCAATCGTGGTCACTAATTGTCTTGGCATAATACAAAGTAATGTCAAGAAGTATTTTTTTTAATAAGAAATTGATGTGAATAATTAAACTTGTCAAGCTAGACTTGTATACGGTACAATTTTGTAGGTAGTATTTGACATATTTTTGCAGGAAATTGATAAACGAACTGAAGGGAAGTTTAAAGTACTCTGCCATTAAAAAAACTTACCATTGTAAGTATGATGAAGACAGGTTACAAGGAACAAAAGTTAATATCCAAAAACAACGTGTTCATTTATAGCAAGTGTGACCTTGAACTTTGACCTTAAAGTGAATATGGTTTGTTTCTTCCATATTAGCCTCCTGTACAAGTATGATGATGATCAAATGTAGGCCAAGGAATTAAATTTGTCAACCAGAAAGGTTGCTGTAAAGTTTCAATTTTGCGGGAAAAACATGTTCTCGACTTTGATAGTGTTTGTTTTATATGCCAAACTCTAAATCTAGAAAAGATGTTCAAAAGTTTTCAGCAATGCTTAATTCCATTCGAATGTTAAGTGGCACAATTATTTAAGATATAACAAAAGACAACCACTGACGTGGTTCATGAATTAGGACAAGCACTCATAAACGCGTGACGGAGATTAACTATATTTTTTAGATCGCAAACATCTCCATTTTTAATCTCGATCAGTGGAATATCAAAACAAGAATTAAGTACATAAAACGTATAGTACATGTGATTAAAATCTGTACAGAAAGAGCTTATTATACATTACATTAATTTAAGTTATATATACACATACAAAGTATTAATTATACATTAATTTTTAATATATATTACATTGAAAATAAATGAATGAATAAGTATCCTCGGAGGCTCCATACAAGATGTTGTTTATAAAAATAATAAAAATGCAAATAAAAACAACAACACCGTGGCCCAAAAATAAAATGACGAAAAGACAATCAACTACAATAAAACAAACACTGGTACAAGCAAACAACAAAATTCACTAAAAACAATATGATGGTGTGAATGGGGTTTACAGAATAGAGAATAATGGGCAAACTAATAAAGAATAGAAAAAAAGGGTAAAAAAAAAAAAAGAATAGAGAATAATGAGGTGCAAAAATATACAGAATAAATGCAAAAATTAAAGAATTGGCAAAACGTATACTGATAACAGAAAGCAACAATGTCCAGCATACAGTTATCAAGTAATTACAGAATAGCTATTATTTTTTAAGATAAAGAATAATGAGCGAAAAAGTTAAAGAATACAGAAATGAAGGACCCCCTCCCTCTTATCAATACCCTCTATCACACCACTTGTTACTGAGTTTAAACAGTATTTTATTCAAATACATTGAATTGCATTGTTCAACAGGCAAAGCCTATGTAAGCCCTCTCCATAAATCAAGGTACGTACAATATATTACATTCAAACAAAACAACACATACACATACACATACACAAACATAATGACAACCACTTGTTACTGAAATTTCTTAACATGCTGATATAAAGGTTTTCGATTTACATGTCCTATTTGCAAAGTAAAGTTTTATTTAATTATTTCTCCCATTTGCCTTTGAAAACATTTTATTTTTACTACTAATATCAAATTCCAAAATTCTCGGAGAAATAAACGTTCTAACTCCGACGTGGAATCCGCTCAAATAGTTTTATGACATGCAGTCAAGGTGTTTTAGAACTATATACGAATACAAATACGAATACAAATACAAAACTTTATTAAATCCAATTAAAGGGCCCGTTTCCGAGCAAATACATATACATAGTATTTATTATACAATATTTTTTTTAAGATTTATTACATTAAAAGTAAATGAATAAATAACTATCCTCAATACAAGATGGTGTTTAAAAAACCCCAACAACACCGTGGCCTTAAAATTAAATGACGAAAAGAAAAACAACAACAACAAAACATCACACAGAAAACCAATGATAAGGCAGCACGAACCCAACTAGAACCGAGATGCTCCGGAAGGGAAGGCAGTTCCTGCTTAAATTGCGGAACCCATCTTATTGCTCATGCAAGTAACAATTCGGTGAAAGTCGCATTTCGTAATGCAACAATCAGGTAAAGACGATGAATCCGCGATCATCTGTGACACAGACAATCTATAAAGGTCAACAAAATCATGATGGCGTCCGTAAAACTGTATAATATAAAGATATATAAGATATAACAAGAATTGCCAAAACATTAATTAGAAGTTGAGATGCGATCTTTTAGAAATTTATTATACACATGCATATATACACGTCCTTTTGATAGAAACAATGAAAATAGGCAAGAAACGTTTGTTTAAAAAACTGCTGTCGCATATGGTCTCCAAACTCTCAAAAATTCAAAAGAAGTCTCGTTCTCAGATTGTCTAAAGACAATTGGTCATCGCTATTGTTTTGCGACAATTCAATTACAGACACATCACTCCATATTGACCGTAAATCTGTTGGAATGTCTTCGATGCAAATATCCAGTGCAACAATTATAACTTTCTGGAGAGTACGACACGATTTAGCTTCCTTTGATTGATCTATTTCGTAAGCAGCAAATGGTTTAGACATGAAATCAGAAGTCACAACAAATATGATATGACGGCTGCTAGATATTGCATGAGCAATTTGTTCATAGATTGACTTTCCACCAACAAAATTTCTATCCTCTAGACACACATTGAGTCTCCAGTCAGTTTCCAACTTATCTATCAAAGTAGCCTGGACCCATGTATAACCATTGTATCCATACGAAACGAAAACATCGTATTCATACGATAAATTCATATTGTTTTCTACAATTCTGCGAAACTTTCTATAACAGAAAAATATTATACGCCAACGGAAGTTAAAAATAACTGCAGTTGGAAGAATAATTATGAAGGCAGAAATAATTATACTTATTCCTATATGCAACCACGTAGTTGCGTAACAGTTACTAAATAATGAATGGAAGTTCTGTAAAACTACCTGTGTGGTAGTGATTGAGCCGTTGGCTAGCCGGCATTTGTAAGATTTGACATTATCCAAAGTAATCTTTGTGGTATTTAACCATCGAATAAAATCTTGGTGTTCACAAGAGCAAGAGAAATCGTTTCCATGTAATTGAAGATGAAAAGTTGTATTTTTAGTTCCTTGGGAATCGAACCACGAAGTAAAATTAGGAAACACTGTAAAAATTCTGTTGCCAGTCAAGTCGAGGAACCCTAGATTTCGAAGATCTGCAATTACACTCGGAATATTATTCAAATAATTGTGCAACAGTCGTAAAATTGCGAGTGATTTCAAATGTTTTAAAAACGATGATGGAATTGTAAACAAGTTGTTCGAGCTTAAATCTAGTTTGACTAAGTTTGGAGAATAAATAAATAAATTCAAGTTCTCCTCAACTGCCCGATACACATGCGCTTCTCTCATAATCAATGTTTCCAGTGCACGAAAGAAAGGAATATTTTTGTAATATAATTTACAATCAATTCCTGAAATATCCAGATATTCCAGATTGTTTTCTGTTTCGTTTATTGAAATAACGGGAAAACATTTAACGTCATAATATGACATATCAATGTGTCGTAAGCTAGCAGTATTCTGTAGATTCAATTTGATTAGAGGTGGTGCACCAAGAACGTGCGTTATACGAACAAACTCTAACCGTGGAGGAATTGGTACATTAAGTGTCAGAATACTATGAGCTGCATCGGAACAACTTTCATCTTCGCGTTTGAACCGAAACTGGTTTGCTTTAAAATCGTTTATCACTGGCAGGTAATTTGCGCTTTTATATCTTAGAGGTATGTATGAAAAATCAAATATTTTTAGATTAGAAAGTTTTGGACTAGCTTTTCTCATCTGTAAACCTAAGGTAGAAAATCCAAAACGGTTACCCGACAAATCTATATGTTCCAGACAGCTAAGATGCTTCCAATCCAAATCAAAAAACGAGTAAGGCAGAATGTCAACAATATTGTTGTCAGCTAAGGCAAGAGTTTTAACACATATTGTTTTCAAATACTGCGTCGTCCCTGCTGTTAATATGATTGCATCTGGTATGGGGGATTGTTTATCGTAGATAGGAGCAGTTACCATATGTGATAAATCCAAGATCTCCAAACTTTTGTTTCTAAATGGGTATAATAATTCTAGTCCTTTGGTCAAAGATATCGTAGTACCTGAAAAACTTAATATAGACAGCTTCGAAAATGGAAATAGCACATTAATTTCTATGGCTTTATTTTCTATAAATTTACATTCCGTCAGATAGAGTTCTGTCACGGAATCCGGTAAATTAACAAAAGTTTTATTTTGTAAAGCCTTGATACTACAGCTTTTGAATCGTATAGAATGGAGTTTCAAATATTTAAATCCAGGTCCGAAAATTGGGTGTCCGTACAAATCAATACTCAAGTTTCGCAATTTTGTGAGCTGTTGAAATGCTTCATCTGGATAAAACAGGTACCTTTCTTTATTTGGTGAATTCATATTTGAACTAAAATCAAGGTTGATAATATTTCGGATATTTTTCAATATAAATAAACCATCCGTCGATATATTTAGTGCGTTTCCGGCTAACGATACATTTTCCAGACTAGTCAAACCATCAAAGCCTTCTGGTTGTACGGTGTGTATTTTACTGTTTTGGAGCTCAAGTGTTTTTAAATGGCTGTATCTTGCAAACGATTTATTTGAAATATTTCCCAGGTTGTTTTCACTCAGATCCAAGGATTCAATGTATATCGGTAAATCTTGCGGAATACCTGTTAAATTTTGATTATGACAATCGGCTGTTCCGTTTATTAATACACAATCATTAGTTGTTCCAGTGTGAAGAACAAAAGCAGTCAGCAATAAACTTGAAAATTTCATATTTTCCTGTAAGGAAAAAGATAAATAGCATTAACTATTTTAGATATGAAAATTGTAAAACAAAATTTTAAGTTTATTAATACATAGATTCCTAATTTAAGGTGGTACCTAACACTACAGGGAGATAACTCTGTAAAATTCAGCTAAACGTTTTAATTACGTTGTGTTGTTAAGGGAATATTAAGCTTCTCAATGGTCAAAATTAGTGTTTGTCAAACTGCTATATAACCAGTGTAATTTTTCTGATAAAGTGGTTGGTTTAAATTTTCTGAAATTTTTATATTTTTGTCAAAGGGTCAAATTAAATACTTTGTCAAAATTTTATGAAAATTAAACGAGCCAAATTAATTTGAGTCAAGGTGTTGGGTACCACCTTAAACAATAAAATTCCAGTCGGATTTTATATCTTTAAAATTGTTATACTGCTGTCAATTAAAGGCAAAACATTAATAAATCAACTTACTTCGACCAATAATTAATCCTAGTAAACGTAGTACACAAGATGCAATTGTTACATTCTAAACTGTACGAGAATTTACGTTTTTTTTTGTGTTTTATTCATTTTTTAAGGAAATAATTCAAATAATTGAAGTGCGTAAAAAGATTAACAAATAAGTACATCTGATGTTCATTCAACCATTATAGATAAATGTGTCAATGTTGCATATATATGATATAATATTCACAAGTGTATTTAATATTTCCGTGTGTTGGTTTAAACGCCTTTTTCCTAGGCCATGCATACAAATATTTAACTTAAAAACCCTTTTATTTTTCGTTTCTTTTGAAACTCACATTTAAAAAAAAAACAATTCTTGAAATAATTAAGTATTTCTTATATAATTGTTCATACTTTTATTATTCTTATGTTTCATGTGAAAACTCCGTCTCTTAAGGCATTATTTTGCCGCAGAAAAAACATGAAATTATCAAAATATACAAAATCAACACCAAGAACTCTAAATTTTTCAATATTTTGTACATGTATGTATTTATAAAAGAATACAGTGCCAAAATCACCCGAGTTGTACGTATTTTATATGTCCAAGGGTATTTACCTTTTTTTTTTAATTTGTTTTGCTTCTTTTAAACTTAATTTTTCTTTTCTTTTTAACTTAATATTTTTATAAATATATTTGACAAATATAAGATTTAGAGTCTTACAGTCTTATTTTGCATTTAAATAATATTTACAAGAGATATAAATAATTTTTTTTTTTAAATATAGTTATTCTTCACATACATTTCCATTTCGTCCGAGACATTGATAGTACAAATCTGTAATATAAATTCGATAAAAATAATCTGGTTCATGTAAGTAGTGTACACGTAAGAGCGTTCACAATTCAATTTCCCATATAATTTATATTTTCAAGGGGCATAACTCTTTTAGAAATATTTGATCGATACTGATTTTTAATCTTAGACTTCGAGACATTGTTGGTACTTACTTTTGATAAACATTTTATCAAAATCTTACAAGAATTGTACACGTGAGAACGCTTACAAGACCGGAAGAACGGAATGAAGTTTGCAGAAAAACGGAGATGGACAATTTCACTGACGTAAGGACGGTGTTTGTATATCCCCTGTAACGCGTCGCACGGGAGACAATAAACAATAATGGTACCACTGTTGTCCATTAACCATTGAAAAAGACTCAAATTATAAAAAATTTTGAATTTCAGTATAATACACGAACAAGACTTAGTATAATAAGTACAACCCAATGATCATTATTTTTTTGTTATCAGACACAACGAGTAAACCATAAAAAAAAATTAATGTAAATAAAACTTCTAGTACACATGTTGAGTGTGTAATTTTTTTTTAACATCAAGATTTGCATTTTCGAAAAACAACTTTTATACTAGAATTAATTTTCAATGGAATTTTAAGATTCTAAGATATAGGAATTAAAGAAATGTGGTTGTAAAAAGCATGGATTCATATTCATCTTTATCAAATTTTAGATAAATGTGACCAAAATACGTTGTAGACTTTAGTTGGAACATGTATGTTCTTTCTTATATGAATTATTTTTAAAAAAAATAATAAAAGAGAATAATTTTTGACAAAGTACACAATTTTGTTTAGAAGCCAGCTGAAACTCGCCTCAGGGTGCGGGATTTTCTCGCTGTGTTGAAGACCCTTTGGTGGCCTTCGGGTTGTTATCTCTTTGACACATACCCCATTTTCGTTCTCAATTTTAATTTAAACGGGTTTGTTGCTGTTCATTGAATTGAATGCTTTTTTTTTTTTTAGTTTGTTTGATTTATACGAAAGTGCATGGATATCGTACTTTGCATGACGCGTGCAAGCGATTCTTGCTTAAGATGGGATTGTCACTTGCTTCAATTTCGTATACATATTCTAAAAAACACAGCAGTTAATTCTTACATTTTCAAATTTCTGAATTAATTAAATATGTTACCATGATCAAAACTTTCGACAGGCTGCGACTACTTGACGTATACGCCAACTGTTCCTCAAGTACCGACCAATTCATCTACATACACCAAACCCTTATACATGTGTACATATACGTCCATATATTGTCAATTATTGTTTTTAAATGAATAAAATTTGCGGTTTTTCAAAATGCAAAATATCATGATACATGTATGTTACATATTTTGAGATCTTTAGGTGGGGAAGAAATCCGGTGCAATTTTTTTTTCAGATTGTGCGCGGCGTTTGCTTATTTTTACTGGACTTTTAGGAGTACAGGAGTATAAAACTATTTTCGAGTGAAATCCTTTTTTTCCCTTCTAAATACAATTTAAAAACAGTGGCGTAGGGGTGCACTGAAATAGAAGAAAACAAGATGAATAAAACAAAACCTTTTCTTTAGTATAAGGGGACGACCAATTGATTTACGGGGGAGGTCGGGGATTGGGGGAAAGGAGGAGGTTAAAATGAATAAAACGCACGAATAATGTTCATTAAAACCAAAGTTTTTGACAAAAATACAACGAACTCGAATATGGTCTATTAGCATATAAGAGCCCATTAATACTTTACAAAGACTGTAATGCGGTTGTAGTGCGACGTACGTACGCGATCACCACACGATATTCCCATCTAGGTGAGTTCTTTAAAATACTCAGTATACCTTCGGAATATACAAGTATTAAAAAAAAATAAAAAAGGACAGTGTCGAAGTGGTTAGGCTAAATACCGGAAGGGTATCAGTCTTATTAGTCCCCTACCGACGAAGTCGAAGGGGACTTTAGGTTTGCTCTCCGTCTGTCTGTCTGTCTGTCTGTCTGTCTGTCTGTCCATCCGTCAATATAAAAAAGAAGATGTAGTATGATTGCCAATGAGACAACTCTCCACAAGAGACCAAATGACACAGAATTTAACAACTAAAGGTCACCGTACGGCCTTCAACAATGAGCAAAGCCCATACCGCACAGTCAGCTATAAAAGGAGTTCGAAATTTTTCTGTATGCGACAATAGCGGAATTCGAGCAATGGTCGAACCCCATACGACAATGATGTACACTGAATGCATCTGTAAACGAAAACACGTAAAAGGTCATATAAAATGAAGTATCAAAGTAAAAACTTAAATATTTTCGCATCTTCACATAATCCAAAGGAGGATTTTTTCCGGATTGATCAATTCTTTTCATCTGTTGCTATGCATGCTTATTTGTCAGCACCATTTTTTTTATCACTATCGTACACATTTGCAGTACTGCCAAGTTTACATGAAGCAAACGTGAGATTTTGTCAAAATTGTAAAGATTAAAGAAAAAAAAACAATAGATCGAAAGAAAATGCCGCCAAATAAGCATGAAAATGCGTGAGTCTCACGCTAATGAATTGCGTGACACTTCTGTCATTCGTATTCTCCAGCTATTCTTCATTTTTATTTTACAAGATATTCATTTTCATCCTATCTTGTGCCAATTCATAAATTTTCTGTCCTTCCCAGGCGGCGGCCCACGGCTGCCAAGTCTCATGTTGATGGTGCAGCGTGAGACTCACGCATTTTCATGCTTATTTGGCGGCATTTTCCTATGATCTATTGTTTTTTCTCTTTGATCTTTACAATTTTAGCCCAATCTCACGCATTTGTTTCATGAAAAGTTGGCATAAATGCAGGCCAGGTTATTCATTTTTAACCCCCCTCCCCATCTCCGAATACACCTTATCGCTATTCCCGCTTGACCCGAGAATCTGTCCCGCTCGAACTTTTGACGTCATACAACAATCACTTTTCCATTGTGGCGTCAGATATTTTCTATTATGACGTCAAAATTGTACTGGAACTTGTGTGATGTCCAGTAAATGGTGGACAAATAGCGAGAAGGTGTATACCATACTAACAGTGAGTCTGCTCATATAGAGTGGATCAGAGTGGGAGCCTATCGTGATTTAAGTTAACCTGTAATAATTTTTCAATAGGTTCCTCTTGTGTGGCAAATCCTACTTCGTAAAAAATCACTCTGATTCAAATAAAAATTTTCTGAAACTAACATTATTAAGATGCTTGATTTCTTGATTGACAACATATTTTGTACGTTTGGAAGACGTTTTTTTCAACAATCAATCGGCATTCCCATGGGAACCAACTGATCCCCTCTTCTTGCCGACTTGTTCCTTTATTCTTATAACTGACTTCATAAAAGAAAAGATGTTAGCAGTATCCTTTAACTTTACTTTCCGTTATATAGATGATGTTCTCTCACTAAATAATTCAAAATTTGATGACTGTTGAACGCATCTATCCCATCGAACTTGAAATAAAGGATAACAGCAGATACAGTTAAGTCTGCCTCATATCTTGACTTACATCTAGAAATTGACAATGAGGGTCGGTTGAAAACAAAACTTAACTAAAAAGAGTTGATTTCTGCTTCCAAATTGTCAACTTTCCATTTCTATGTAGCAATATTCCAGCAGTGCCTTCATTTGGAGTATATATAGTCTGTTTTCATATTACCGACTTTTGACTCCGGGTTCTATATTTTTTCGACAGGTTACCTACTCTTTGGTAAGACATCCTGGTACTCGGAAAATTACGAGCAACCAAAAGAAGTAAAATCAAATATATAAACTGTACAATTTGGGGGGAAAGTTTACTGCTTTCTGATGATTCAGTTATGTATAGAAAGCATTAAACAGTAAAACTCTCCCTCGCAATTGTACCAATTAAAACCTTGAATTTACTTATTTACGTTGCTCTTGCTTGACCGAGTACCTGGATGTCCATCCACAGAGAAGGTAACAAGTTGAAAAAATATAAATTCCGGAGTCAAAAGTCGGTAATATGGAAATGGTCTGATACCAAGAGTTCCAAATGGTGAAGTTGAAATCATCCCTTCTTACGGACGCCATCACGAGTTGGTTGACCGTTATGGAATATCCGTTTCACAGATAATAGCGAATATGTTCCTAATGTAACTACAATTCCGTTCCCTTTTTCACGAATGTGACCTACAGAATTAGAATTGTTACCGGGTTTGTACTAACATGAGCAACTCAGTCGGTGCCACATGTGGTGCTGGATCTGCTTACCCTTCGAAGCACCTGAGATCACCCCCAGTTTTTGG